CCTGAGCTGTCATTCAGTGCCTTCTGGTCTTACCTGTATCCTGTATCTGCGAACCTGTGAATTGTAAGTTGCTGACCCGGATTGTGCCTTGACCTTGCTGTATTTCTCCTGCCCTGACCTTTGCTTTGCCTGACCTCTCTCCTGGATGCCCCCTATTGGATTTGACCTGCTGTTGCTGACCTGGCGTGTGACCCGACCATTCTATGCCCGCTGCCTTGTACCTTGCCGTCCTCTCTGTTACCGACCCGGCCCGTCTGACCTTGCTCATCCATCCATCCCATCCCGTGCAGTGGGGTCTGCTGACCTCCTCATATCAGACTCTTCCCCGTGGGAGCCCTTGGCGCATACCACTACCACTGACGGACGCACCCAGTAGCCACGACCTGGTCTCAGGGGGCTCCAAGTCCATCCCCACCATCAGGGCCCTGGTGAACAAGCACCCTGGGACTTAGACTCCGTGCGCTGGGGACGCCTATTCAGTGGAGAGCTAGTGGTACCGCCAGGCGGTCCCTTACAGATAGCTTCCATGCCACGCCGCATTGAGGCAGTAATTGCTGCAAAAGGGGCCCAAACCAAGTACTAAGTACATATACATGCTTATACTTTTCAGAGGTCCGATATTGTTCTATGTACAATCCTTGTTTTATTGATTGCATGTAATATTCTAATATTCTGAAATTGAACCTTTTTTTTCAACTGAGCCAAATCTCGCCAAAACCATGATTGAAATTTATTTTGAGAGCCACATTTTTAAAACTGAAAATACATCTCCCATATAGTAATTCATCCCCCATAGTAATTCATCCCCCATATAGTAATTCATCCCCCATAGTGTAATTCATCCCCCATAGTGTAATTCATCCCCCATATAGTAATTCATCCCCCATAGTAATTCATCCCCCATAGTAATTCATCCCCCATATAGTAATTCATCCCCCATAGTAATTCATCCCCCATAGTAATTCATCCCCCATATAGTAATTCATCCCCCATAGTAATTCATCCCCCATAGTAATTCATCCCCCATAGTAATTCATCCCCCATATAGTAATTCATCCCCCATCGTAATTCATCCCCCATAGTAATTCATCCCCCATAGTAATTCATCCCCCATATAGTAATTCATCCCCCATATAGTAATTCATCCCCCATAGTAATTCATCCCCCATAGTAATTCATCCCCCATAGTAATTCATCCCCCATATAGTAATTCATCCCCCATAGTAATTCATCCCCCATATAGTAATTCATCCCCCATAGTAATTCATCCCCCATAGTAATTCATCCCCCATATAGTAATTCATCCCCCATAGTAATTCATCCCCCATAGTAATTCATCCCCCATAGTAATTCATCCCCCATATAGTAATTCATCCCCCATCGTAATTCATCCCCCATAGTAATTCATCCCCCATAGTAATTCATCCCCCATATAGTAATTCATCCCCCATATAGTAATTCATCCCCCATAGTAATTCATCCCCCATAGTAATTCATCCCCCATAGTAATTCATCCCCCATATAGTAATTCATCCCCCATAGTAATTCATCCCCCGTATAGTAATTCATCCCCCGTATAGTATTTTATCCCCCGTATAGTATTTCATCCCCCATATAGTATTTCATCCCCCATATAGTAATTCATCCCTCATATAGTGTTTCATCCCTCATATAGTATTTCATCCCTCATATAGTATTTCATCCCCCCATATAGTATTTCATCCCTCATATAGTAATTCATCCCTCATATAGTATTTCATCCCTCATATAGTATTTCATCCCCCCATATAGTATTTCATCCCTCATATAGTATTTCATCCCCCCATATAGTATTTCATCCCTCATATAGTAATTCATCCCTCATATAGTATTTCATCCCCCCATATAGTATTTCATCCCTCATATAGTATTTCATCCCTCATATAGTATTTCATCCCCCCATATAGTATTTCATCCCCCGTATAGTATTTCATCCCCCATATAGTATTTCATCCCCCATATAGTAATTCATCCCTCATATAGTATTTCATCCCTCATATAGTATTTCATCCCTCATATAGTATTTCATCCCCCCATATAGTATTTCATCCCTCATATAGTAATTCATCCCTCATATAGTATTTCATCCCTCATATAGTATTTCATCCCCCCATATAGTATTTCATCCCTCATATAGTATTTCATCCCTCATATAGTATTTCATCCCTCATATAGTATTTCATCCCCCCATATAGTATTTCATCCCTCATATAGTATTTCATCCCTCATATAGTATTTCATCCCCCCATATAGTATTTCATCCCCCCATATAGTATTTCATCCCTCATATAGTATTTCATCCCTCATATAGTATTTCATCCCCCACAGTACTATTCCCCCCCCCTTCTAGTAAGCCAAGTCCCCCGTGTCAATTCACTTACCTTTGTTCCGCGCGTTCCTCTCGCTGTCTTCCCGCGCCGTTCGGGTCTTCAGGGCGGACTGTGAGAGGAGCCTAGCTCCCCTCCCCTCACGTTCGGCACGCTGCCCCGCCTACACACATCCTGACAGCCACATCCGCGGGCCGGATTAAAAGGTCCGCGCGGACTTTTGGGGCGGCCAACCGAGAGGAGGCAGGGGAGCGGCCGACCGAGAGAGAGGGAGGGGAGCAGGCGCCCGGCACACAGAAGAGCCGCATTAGAGTGGGTAAAGAGCCGCATGTGGCTCGCGAGCCGCGGCTTGCCGACCACTGCACTAGGGGGAACTGCTGAGCCTTCAGCAGTGAGGTAATGAGCCCAGCTGAAGGTAGTGGGCTCATTAAGGCTGTTATAAAACTTCCCAGCCTGCTTAGGGATTTGCTCCATCCTAGAACCAGATCTGTGCCTGGTCAGATGTGGGAGTGGTAAACTCATCTGTGGGGTGCGGCAAAGGCCTGTGTGGCTAACCTCCAACTGGTAGGAACTGGGTGTAGCATAAGGCCATACCTAGTGGATAGCTAGGGAAGCTATTGTATAGGAAGTGGCCAAGTTGGCAAGGATTTAATTTCATGTTTCTTTTTGGTTTGATGTTTTTCTTGTAAATAGTGTAAATAAACCGCACCTTTTTGTTTTTCACCTACACTGCTGTTTTGCTGTGTCTGTTTTTTGTGTTGTGAACTCATCAAGGGGGTCACACACACCCACTGCTGAGCAAACCCCATTACATTGCCATTCATTTTTAATGACACCCCAACATCTAGCAAATGCATGTGTGTTCACAACTGCTAAAATGCATGGTACTGCAGGATTTTAAAATTCATGCCAGCACCATTTTTCATATTTCACACTCACACAGCAGCCCAATAAAAGAAATGACACAGGGGAACGAGCAAAAAAGCACACATACTTGGACGCACATCTTGGTGTGAATGAGCGCACTAGAGTGGTCCGAGATTGTGCACAATTCTGAAGGGTGCCTTGACTGATATAAGGTTGAGAGACACTGCTCCAAATCAACTATGGGTATAGCGTTCTGTATATGAACACTTTTTATTTTCTATTTATTCATTTTTTCTTCTAGTTGAACTAGATGGACTTGTGGTTTTTTGTTTTCAACCTGACTATGTAATTATATAGTGTAACACACCAACTGATAATGCATTTACTTACCTATGCAAGAATGGAAGACAGTTTAAATGTGGGAGCTTAAAATGTGATAAAAATCACATCTAAAAATGACAAAAGGCAGACATTATTTTAAAACTCAGTAATATACCTGGGAGTAGTATTGTTTGATATGTACAAATTATGTTTAACCACTTCCATGCCACATTATAGCTGAATGACGGCTACAACACGGTTGTCCAGTTCTGGGAGGACAGCATATGATGTCCTCCCAGAACGTACCCTGCACACACCCGGCACTGTCTGTGATCGTTGTGTCCTTTGGATACAGCTGATCACGTCATAGTAAAAAGCCAACCACAGCGTCCTTTTACTGCATGATCAGCTGTGTTTAATCACAGCTGACCACCATGTAAATACACTTGCCAGTTATCGGCTGTAGTTTCTCCACGCTGTCAAAGCATGAGGAAAGTACTGCCGATAACCTGCCACTGTCACAGGAGACATCTGCATTGATAGTCAGGGCACTGATTATCAGTGCAGCCCCAAAAATGCCTATCAGTGCTGCCCATCAGTGCCTACCAGTGCTGCCCATCAGTGACCGACAGTGCTGCCTATCAGTGCAGCCTCATCAACACATCAGTGAAGAAGATAAAGTTTATACTTAAAATAAAAAAGGAAACCTTTTTTTTCCCCCAAAATGTTCACTCTTTTTTCGTTTATAGTGCAAAAAAATAAAAAACCCAGTGATGATTAAATACTAAAACAAAGCTATGTGAGTGGAAAAAAAGATAAAAACTTCATTTGGGTGCAGTGTTGCATGACGTGCAATTGTCACTCAAAGTGTGACAGCGCTGAAAGCTGAAAATCAGCCTGGGTAGGAAGGGGTGTGAAAGTGCCAAGTAGGCAAGTGGCTGAATACCTGGTCATATCTTGAGATCCTATCTCTTTACTGCTCCAGATTTCCTTATGAATAAACAATTAGTAAGTTTAAGAAAAGAAAAACTAAATAATAATAACAGAATATCTAAAATATGTACTGCTATTGGAAAATGACCCAGTCCTGTGCAAGTAATGTGTATAACTTCCTCATTACAGTGTATCAGTGTGTAACACGCTGCCAGCAGGATACCGTACACAGCAATAATAGTCTGCGTCATCTTCTAACAACACTGACTTAATGGTTAAATATCCTGTGTTCTTGGAGGTGTCTTTGGATCCAGAGAACCGATCAGGGACCCCGGCTCCTTGGTGTTTGTCACTGTCACTTTTATAATATAACAAATACTGGGGTCTGTCCCCTGTTTTCTGCTGATACCAGTACACCCAGCGATCACCTATACTGAACCCAGTAAGTGTACAAGACAATGTCGCCGTGTCCCCAGGAGAGACTGATTGAGCGGCTGGCTGGGTCACACTCACCTGAGCAGCACAATCTGAAATACAGAAATAAATTCATATAAACAGTCCAGCAGGGATCACTTGTAATATGGACATTAATCTTCCTCTTTCTCCTATAGCTGGTCTCCAGCTTAGACATTAATAAACCCATTTCCCCTCTTACTTGTGCAGAATAATAGAGAGGTGATGAGTAGGGCAGACCACGACATGGTGCAGGTGACTCAGCCACAGATCTCTGGATTGTATTCTATCCCCCCTGTGTATTAAATACAGAGTGCAGACATCAATGTAAATGTGATCAGAGCTGATTGGACAATGCAGGCTCCTCCCCTACACCTGTCTGTCTGTAGGATTATGTATAATAAACTATACATTGTACAACTATCATAATCTTCACCCCCTTCAGTCACTGCTAGAAAGATGTGAGCCAGTGCCAGGGTGATACTGAACACTTAGTATTTCCATGATTATACGCCAACATTCTTCTTGTGTTCTTTCCATAATGGAGGTGCCCAGATAAGAGTCATCTAAGGGATTTCATTACAATTTACTAACATTACCTATTATTACAGATTCTTTGCGATCTTGCCAAGTGCTTAAAGTGCACCTAGCATCAGGTATGTATTTTCAGGATATGTCATGAATGCTAAGTAATGTGTAGCAGGTATTTATTACTTCTTACAGAGATCACCTTACCCCCCCCCCCCCCCCCCCCCCAACAAATATCCAAATGTGAGTTATTTGATTAAGTCATGGAGTATTTTAGTAGTGAAAACGTGTCAATGTTCAGCTGTCAACAGAGTACCCCGCTGACAGCTGAATGTAAAAAGAATTGCCGGCAAATAAAAATTTTGCATAAAAAAAATGTCTTGGGGTCCCCCCATTCATACCAAGCCCTTCAGGTCTGGTATGGATTTTGAGGAGAACCCCCACGGCAAACTTTTTTTTAAATGTGTTGGGTCCCCCCAAAATCTATACCAAAATCCATACCAGACCCTTATCCGAGCATGCAGCCTAGCAGGTCAGGAAAGGGGGGGGGGGGGGGGTTACGAGCGAGTGCCCTCCCCTCCTGAACCATACCAGGTCACATGCTCTCAACATGGAGGGGTGCTTGGGGCAGGGGGGCTTCCCCCCCAAGCACCTTGTCCACATGTTGATGGGATCAAGGGTCTCTTCCCCCATAACCGTGTCCGGTAGTTGTGGGGGTCTGCATGCGGGGGACTTATTGGAATCTGGAAAGCCCCTTTAACAAGGGGACTCCCCAGATCCTGCTCCCCCCCCCCATGTGTATGGGGTACATGGTACCACTACTCATTCACAACAAAAAAAAGTGTAGCATAAAAAATGACAGAAGTCCTTTTTTGAAACAACAAAAAATTTAAAAAAAGTCCCCAAAGTAGATCCAATGTGAATCACAATGTCTGCTGCCACCACCGACCTGAAAAAAAAAAAAAAGGCTCCGCTCTCGACTCAAATGTTCGAATAGGTTCAAATGTTCGACCGTGAACTGAACAGGGGATGTTGGACCCATCACTGTTCAAGAAGAAGGCACAAAATATAATCATAGATGCAGCTAAAAACTTATAAACACTGCCATCTACTGCTTGATGAATATATCTTCTGAATACTGATGCTGATGTATAGTAGCTGTAGCACAAAAATACATGAACATTGTATTCTAACACTCCCACTCAACAACTACTCCTTTTTCGCCGTATAAGACGCCACCTCCATAAATCGCACCTAGGTTTTAGAGGCAGAAAACAGGAAAAAAAATTCTGAACTAATGGACTGCAGACACAGTACAGGAGATGACCAGAGACTGCGGACACAGTACAGGGATGACCAGAGACTGCGGACAGCACAGGGATGACCAGAGACTGCGGACAGCACAGGGATGACCAGAGACTGCGGACAGCACAGGGATGACCAGAGACTGCGGACAGTACAGATGACTGCTGACCTTTGGGGAGGTGGGGAGCGGGTACCTGAATTTGACAGGTACCCACTCTTACTTCCACAGAGTTTTTGTTTGATCTTACCTGTTCCTCGATCCCGCCGCGCGCTGTCTTCCCGGCTTCTGTAATGGCGCTCGGCATGACAGCCGGGTGCCCAGTGCGCATGAGCGAGAAGCACTTGCGCTTTGTGATTGGTCCGGCGGCTTCTGGGGTCTGTCATGTGTCCCAGGTACCGCCTTACCATTCACAAAAAGCACTGCTTCTTGCGCATGCGCACTTGGCACCCGGCTGTCATGCCCACACTACAGAAGCCGGGAAGACAGCACGCCGCTGGATAGAGGAACAGGTAAGGTCCCGCTGCAGAGCTGAGCGGCCGGCCCGGTATTCTGACACGGCCGCGGTGGAAATACCGGACCGGCCGATCCATATTCGCCTTATAAGACGCACTGACATTTCCCCCCCCCCAGTTTTGGGGAAGAAAAAGTGCGTCTTATACGGCGAAAAATACGGTAAGTGGCAGAGTATGTAACACTGCACATTGTTACTGTAATGCAGATGTATATTTGACCACTAGATAGCAGTGTTTATCATTTTGTATTGCTCATCATAGTCCCAGTACAGGTGTGCAGAGACGGCTGGGATTTGTATTCCAAAAGCTGAAATTGTTCCTCACAGGGAAGATGAGTCTGAACTACACAGTCCTTGAACCCTCACCAGGGGACGGGAGGATATAAGAGAAAAAGCCAGGGAAAATAGAGCTGTAGAGAGACTTTGCTGTGTAAGAACCATGTGTGTTGAGATCTGTGTCAAGCCACATGGACCTGGCCCGGACCAGGTTAGGCTGAGAAGCTGCACAGGGCACTGTTCAGCTGAACATCCAAGTGGAAGAGGCATATTTGTGGAGATCTGTTCGCTGCATAAGAGTGAGAGCTGCTACCAGCACAGCTGCATCTTCAAGAGAAAACAGGTGCCCCTCATCGTCAGACTCTGGGTGAGAGGGTTCTAACACATTTATTGACATTAGCAATTACAAACAGTTGCTGCCATTCAGGTTCTTCAAGACACTCCTAACCATTGGCCACTACTATTGATACAAATGCCAGTGCCCCTCGCTGTTGCAGACTGCCATCTCTATCCAGTCATCGTGGTCACTGCCTGCAGGATACTGAAATGAGTTACCCCCTTGGCCTCCTGATGTCTGATAAGAAGGCCTGATGTCAGATGAGAATGCCTGGCTTGCAGACTCCACTCTATATGTGTTCTATCGGGTTGAGGTCATGACTCTCTGCAGGCCAGTCAAGTTCCTCCTCCCCAAACTCGCTTATCCATGTCTTTATGGACCTTGCTTTGTGCACTTGTGTGCAGTCATGTTAGAACAGGAAGGAGTCATCCCCAAACTGTTCCCACAAAGTTGGGAACATGAAATTGTCCAAAATGTCTTGGTATGCTGACGCCTCAAGAGTTCCCTTCACTGGAACTAAGGGGCCAAGCCCAACCCCTGAAAGACAACCTCACACTATAATCCCCCCTCCACCAAACCTTACACTTGGCACAATTCAGTCAGGCAAGTACTGTTCTCCTGACAACCGCCAAACATAGACACATCCATTTGATTGCCAGACAGAAAAGCACGATTTATCACTCCAGAGAACATGTCTCCACTGCTCTAGAGTCCAATGGTGGCGTGCTTTACAGAACTGCATCTGACGCTTTGCATTGCACTTGGTGATGTAAGGCTTGGATGCAGCTACTCGGCCATGGAAACCCATTCCACGAAGCTCTCTACGCAGTGTTGTGCTAATCTGAAGGCCACATGAAGTTTGGAGGTCTTTAGCTATTGACTCTGCAGACAATTGGCTACTTCTGAGTACCGTGTGCTTCAGCATGCGCTGACCCCACTCTGTCATTCTACATAGCCTACCACTACGTGGCTGAGTTGCTGTTGTTCCCACTTGCTTTTATTTTGTTATAATACCACTAACAGTTGACCGTGGAATATTTAGTACAAAGGAAATTTCATGGATGGACTTATTGCACAATGGCAACCTATCATGGTACCATTTACAATTACTGAGCTCCAGAGAGCGACCCATTCCTTCACAAATGTTTGTAGATGCAGACTGCATGCCTAGGCGCTTGATTTTATACACCTGTGGCCATGGAGGTGATTGGAACACCTGAATCCAATGATTTGGAGGGGTGTCCCAATACTTTTGGCAATATAGTATATTTGCATTGTGTTGACAGGCTTGTGTGCTTAATCAGCTTGTTTCATTGTCAACCTTTGTAAACTGTTAAATTGCCTAGCTTCATTTGGGTGCAGTGTTGCATGACCGTGCAATTGTCACTCAAAGTGCGACAGCGCTGAAAGCTGAAAATCAGCCTGGGTAGGAAGGGGTGTGAAAGTGCCAAGTAGGCAAGTGGCTGAATACCTGGTCTTATCTTGAGATCCTATCTCTTTACTGCTCCAGATTTCCTTATGAATAAACAATTAGTAAACTCAAGAAAAGAAAAACTAAATAATAACAGAATATCTCAAATATGTACTGCTATTGGAAAATGACCCATTCCTGTGCAAGTAATGTGTATAACTTCCTCATTACAGTGTATCAGTGTGTAACACGCTGCCAGCAGAATACCACACACCACAATAATAATCTGCGTCATCTTCTAACAACACTGACTTAATGGTTAAATATCCTGTGTTCTTGGAGGTGTCTTTGGATCCAGAGAACCGATCAGGGACCCCGGCTCCTTGGTGTTTGCTACTGTCACTGTTATACCATAACAAATACCGGGGTCTCTCCCCTGTTTTCTGCTGATACCAGAACACAGCACGATCACCTATACTGAACCCAGTAAGTGTACAAGACAATGTCGCCGTGTCCCCAGGAGAGACTGATTGAGCGGCTGGCTGGGTCACACTCACCTGAGCAGCACAATCTGAAATACAGAAATAAATTCATATAAACAGTCCAGCAGGGATCACTTGTAATATGGACATTAATATTCCTCTTTCTCCTATAGCTGGTCTCCAGCTTAGACATTAATAAACCCATTTCCCCTCTTACTTGTGCAGAATAATAGAGAGGTGATGAGTAGGGCAGACCACGACATGGTGCAGGTGACTCAGCCACAGATCTCTGGATTGTATTCTATCCCCCTGTGTATTAAATACAGAGTGCAGACATCAATGTAAATGTGATCAGAGATGATTGGACAATGCAGGCTCCTCCCCTACACCTGTCTGTCTGTAGGATTATGTATAATAAACTATACATTGTACAACTATCATAATCTTCACCCCCTTCAGTCACTGCTAGAAAGATGTGAGCCAGACAATTGGCTACTTCTGAGTACCGTGTGCTTCAGCATGCACTGACCCCACTCTGTCATTTTACATGGCCTACCACTTCATGGCTGAGTTGCTGTTGTTCCCACTTGCTTTCACTTTGTTATAATACCACTAACAGCTGACTGTGGAATATTTAGTACAAAGGAAATTTCATGGATGGACTTATTGCACCAATGGCAACCTATCACGGTACCATTTACAATTAATGAGCTCCAGAGAGCGACCCATTCCTTCACAAATGTTTGTAGATGCAGATTGCATGCCTAGGCGCTTGATTTTATACACCTGTGGCCATGGAGGTGATTGGAACACCTGAATCCAATGATTTGGAGGGGTGTCCCAATACTTTTGGCAATATAGTATATTTGCATTGTGTTGACAGACTTGTGTGCTTAATCAGCTTGTTTCATTGTGAACCTTTGTAAACTGTTAAATTGCCTACCTTTCTTTATATTGATCTTAATACAACTTAATAATTGTTTTTCACAGTGTGTATTTTCCTTGTGTGACAACAGGGAGACTCCCTGGCCAAGGTACTTTGGTGGTGTCAGCAGGGCTGTGGTTCTGCCTTGGGCCTAGTAATGAACAGAGGACCCAAATATACCAGGGGCTCCTGCGGGGGTAGTGCTACATATGACAAACAAACATTACCACGCTTTCATTTTTAGCTGGGAAATTAGTTGTATTTACATTAAGGTTTGGGGTATAAGGGCCATGTAAAGCTAGAGCAACTCCCAACTTTTTGACATGTGAAAGGACACCTTACTGAGCAAAGCATGTGGCAAAGGGCACCCATCTGCCAGGTATTGGAACATAAATAATTACAACTAAAAAATGATTGGTTAAATCACAAAGTGCTTTCTTTCTTTAGTTTTCCTGAAAAATGGTATTTGAAAGAAAAATAAATACAATAATTTTGAGATAGGCTGAAGGTTTAGCATAGTATGAAATTTCTGGTATTTATATAGTAGATTTTTTTCATAGTGGTCTATTCAACAGACCTAAAAGAGGGACAACTGAGCAGTTCCAAGACAAGGTCATCCAGTGTCCAAGACAAAGATGAGAAACTGCATCCCTCCTCAGCACCCGACCACCCCACAAGTTCCCCTTCCTATTATCCAGTCCCACCACCCATTGTGTGGAGACGGGGATAGGGCCAATATTTTCGTGCGCACCAAATGTTTATAATGTTTGTGGTATGCAAATAGATTTAGAGTTTATGGTACACTGCAGTGAGCTGAGAAGTTTAAAATTGGTGCACAAATATGGGGCTAACAGTGACAAAAGAAAAAATGTCCTTGGGTTGGTGATGTCACTGAAATGGAAAAAAAAATGTCCCCAGGGTGTCACTCAAAGGAAAAATGTCCCTAAGTCAGTTATTTTACTTGAAGGAAAAATGTCCGAGTAGGTGATGTAGAGCAAAAATGTCCCTACATCTGTGGTGTCACTGGAAGGAAAAATGTTCCTGAATTTGTGGTATCTTAGGAAGGAAAAATGTCCCTGAGTTGGTGGTATGACTGGAATGAAAAAATGAAAAAAATGTTCCTGCATTGGTGGTGTCACTCAAAAGAAATGTCCTTGAGTCAGTGGTGTCACTGGAAGGAAACAATGTCCCTGTGTTGGTGGTGTAACTTGATTAAAAAATTAAAAATGTCCCTCAGCATCCCTCATTGGACGAAAGAGCATCACAAAGCTCCCCCTTTCTTAGTAAAGAGCTTTTCCCTTAACCCCCCAGATTCTCCCTCACCACAAAGCTCTTCCCCAACCCCCCCAGTATGGAGCTCTCCCCCTAACCCCCCTTCCTCCACTACAAAGATTGCTCTCTCTTCCACCCAGTTAAGAGTTCTTTCACCCACCCCTCCCCCCCCAGCTACTTACCCAGTTTTTGGCGTAGGAGGAGCTGCTGAGCTGTCGTACTGGGGGCGTGTAAGCCGTGTACCGGGGTGGGCTCCCCAGGATACAGTGAAGTCACAGACGAGGAAAGCAACCCCAACACCGGCTTTTGCCACAACAGAATTTTACTTAGATGTGGCAAATAAACACAACCACAAATGTTGAGAACATACAATAAATTTACATACACCCAGCCCAAAGGCTGAGACCCTTGTGCTGCACAGCACGGCGCCTCCTGATGGATGAAGGTAGAAAGTGTAGTAATTTACCTACTGGCGGACACAACTAAGCTGCCACACCTTACCTGTTACTACCCTAAAAGAGCAGGAATCAGTGTATGGGTGTATGGTATGGGCTAGCCTGCGGTGCAGCACAACAGTTTACAATCTTACACAAATCTACAGTATTCCCCCTCCCATAACTGGCCCTGTAGCACGTGCCTGAGTATTCCTTCTGAGCAAAACGCCAGTCTGGCTTGAGTTTGTGGGATTTTATCAGCTCTCCAATGTGAAATGTCGCTTTTAAGTTATGAAGTCCTTCCAATGATCAGTAATAACACTTGTGGCCTGACACAAACAGAGACCCTAACTAACTAACTATAAGCCTGGTCTCAGTCTCTAGGCGCCAACACTGAAATGAGGTGCGTGCACAAACTTACCGACCCATGTCTGCTTTGCATACACTGGTGACTCTGAACAGAACAAATGTCTCTCTAACAAGCATGCGGTCTCGCCGTATATGTTGCTTAGTTCCTCTGCTCTCATCAGCATTCCTGGCAGCAATCTCATCAGCTTCCTGGCTGCAATCTCATCAGCTTCACTTAGCTGCAGCTCTGGTTACGGAGGGATGCTTTCACACCTGGATGTCATCAGATTCTCAGCTCACACGGCATTCACCATCCTCTAAACATGGCTGCTCTCTCTCCTCTACCTGCTCCCTCACCTCTGTGAAAACTCCACCTCTTCATGAATATAGAAATATCTATGCAGTCTGAGGCTGTGTTAGAAAAACAGTGACATCTTGTGGCTAAACTGCAGAATGGCAGTCAAAACATTTAATTTACTCCACACAAGCAGTATTCAAACAATGAGAGCTGTTTCCCCATCTCACATGCCACCCCACTAGAGGTTGTCGTCCTCGGCAACCCTCCCCATACAAACTCATTCTGGGAATAGCACTGTGGGGGCACACCAGCATTGGGCCTTGTTGACCTTCGTAGAGTGACAGGCTCAGAAGCACTGGGGACGTCAGGCATATTTACTGGGAGAGGAGCTGCTGACCGCTCAACACTTTCCCTTGGTGGCAAACTTGCTATGGCTGGAGACTCTGTGGGTACTGGGGCAGGGACAACCCACCATTCCTCCCCCTCCTCTAAGGGGATTTCCTCTGTACTCTGAACAGGAGGAGCCATCCCCTCCACGCACACTAGTTCATCAAAATTACAATGCCTCAACATGTTACGGTGCAAGTTTCGTGAGGGCCCCCCAGTCCCTATTGGCTCTACCTCATAGACCAGGATGGCAGGGTCTACCCTCCTCTTCACCGTGTACGGGACCGCCTCCCATCACCCATGCAACTTTCCAGATGGCCGCTTGGCTTTGACTATCACTCTATCACCCGGGGCATACCTCTCCTTCTGCACTGGTCTTGGATTGGGGTATACCACTTGTCTAAGGCGCTCCCCCACAACTTTGTGAATCACTCTCAGCCAGTGGCGGTGCTCTTGCACCCATGCGGTAGTATTTCTTGGTGGTGGCTCCATCAGATCGGGCATGTGGAGATCTTCAATCTCCCGTCCGGCTCTCCCAAACATGAGCATATGTGGGGAGTATCTGGTGGTACTGTGTGTTATCATAGGCCCACATCAGTTCAGGTAGGTATTCGGGCCACCAAGCTTTTTGGCGGTCCTCCAGAGTCCGCAGCATCTGGAGCAAGGTGCGGTTGACTCGGTCGCACGCCCCGTTTCCCTGGGGGTGATACGGGGTGGTGTGGGAATGTTCCATCCCATACAGTTGGTGCAACTAATTCATTAGAGTACCCTGAAAACATGCCCCCTGGTCCGAATATATTCTCTGTGGACACCCGAACACCTGTATAAAGTGTTTGCAGACCGCTTCAGCAGCCGACTCTGCCGTCTGGTCTCTGGTGGGTACAGCCACCGCATACTTTGTGAAATGATCTGTCCTGACTAGACAGTACGAGTGTCCTGAGGTAGAATACCCAATCTGTACATAATCGATCATAAGGAGCTCTAGGGCTGCTGATGCCCGGATGGCCTGGACAGGAGCCCGCTGTTCAGTACTCTTTCTCAGCCCGTAGGGCTGACACTTAAGACATGCCTCGGCCACCATGTCTGCCAAATCTGGACAGTACACGAGCTGTTGGAGCCACTTGAACGTTTTATCGCTCCCAAAATGGGCACCCCTCTCATGGGCTTACCGGGCAGCGTCCGGTCCCAATGACATGAGGATGACAATCTGTCGCTGGTACTGCAACTCTGACTGCAAGTATATGTTCCGACACAGGAGGCGGCCTGGGTAACTTATCCCACTGCCTCAACAACTTTTGGCCCTCGGGAGTCAGAAGAGCCCACTCTGCTGACCAAGGCCAGATCTTGTTCCGGACCCATTCTTTCACTTTCCACAGGTCCGGGCAGCTATCTTGGACCCTCTCCCAATCAGCCAACGTCTTTCCC